CCGGTCATGTATGTTCCGGTCATGTATAATATAAACATACTATAAAGCTCTTTAAATATTTAATTTTGAGTATCTCTGCATTTCGGGATTGTCAAATTGAAAATTAATTTGCAATTATATGTGAAAAAACCTTGACGAATGAAAATAAAAATTACTGTAAATCAAAAAATAAACTAGAATCCATTGCTATCCTATTTCAATTATTCCCAGTTTTCGACCACCACCTTGTTCGAAAAATAACCGAATTCCTAAACGCAAAGTGAACTAAACATATGAGTGCTAAATAACAAAATGCGTTATTCTACCAAAAGAAAGTTATTTAAGTTACAAACCCGAAAGTATGAAATTTCTAACTACAATTTATGATACTTTGCAATTTTTACGCAAATGACATTCCTGAAAGCAGGGTTATGTAAAAACCAAGATAGAACAACAAAACGTAAACTGTTATACAAATACTAAATTTATTGTTAAGCCCCTTTTAATTTCAACTCCTTTTCAACTCATTTAATTTTGACAACTTCAATGTTATATTTGAGTAATTTTTTTATAGCTTCTAATTTTTCGGTAACTTACATAGTAAAGTAAAAGGACACCATTAATTCTGTTATAAATAATTAAAATTAAAATTGAATTAATTTCTTGTAATTTATTTTGTAAGTAAACAAATTTGAGGTGAGGTGATTTTGTTCCTCATTTGAATTTTTGATTTCTTCCCAGAATTTTCGAAACTTTTATGTTAAAAATTCATGTTATCATCAGATACAGATCTTGGTACATGCCACATAACGCAGAAAATAATCGAAAAGAATTTTAATAATGAATTATCACCTAAGATTTTGCATAAAATTTTTAAAAATTTTACAAGTAATTTTTTTTATTTTTTCATAATCAACTACACGTAAAGTTTTAGTACAAGTTAAAAAAAAACAAAAACAACAATTTTTTTTTATACTCACATTGTGTAAATTTCTTGTTTATTATTTGAAGAAGATTATTTATTCACCATTCAAGATTATTCCACTCTTATTATAAAAAAATTTGAGATGCAAAAAATAAAAGGAGCCAAAAAAACAAATACCAGCTTTGGAGGCAACTTTATTTATTTATGGATAAGAAAATTCTGCAGGCAATCATAAAAAAAGATTTTCTTTTAATTTTAATATTTTTTTTTTGATATTATGAATAAATTTATTTAAGCAAATAAACGGCAACATAAGTAATTTTACACTTTATCAAAAAGATAGTTTTAAAAATTTATGAGTATTTCTCCCGCGCACTTAAAATGAAATTTTCACCCGATGTGTTGCTCAAAAAAAAAGTACGTACTCTGCAGTTTAAAAGAGTAAAAATAAAAAAATTAAAAAGAGAACGAAAAAGCAACGAAGCAATAATATCAATTTCCGAATTTGAGAAGTATTTTATTGCGTATTCAAATACGTGATATCAGCAGGTGGTACTGACCATTTTCATGTTCTAAATAAATGCTATATAACAATAAGTAGAGAAAGAGAGAGTAATCCATCTTTTAATTTTAAAATATGCATTTACTCAGTCATGTATAATACTTTTTCGATTTTCTTGGCATGTCATTTTATTGCCTCAAATTTTAGTACACTCTATAGAAAATTTCTAAGAAAATTCAACACTAAAGCTTAAAGTTCATATTGACGTATGTAGTTTCTTTATGTTGCCAAAGTAGTTTCTAATTTTCTTATACCAAGCATATACCAAATATGCCCACATATTCCAAGCTGAATTTTTTTTCAGTACTCATGTAAAAACAAATAAGTCGTGAATATATAAACAAATAAGTATGACGTCAAATATTTCTCTTTCGAGAAATACTTAATTAATATGAAGCTTGTGCTTGTTATTGCAGAATGTTTAAATATTAGAAACAATTGACTACTATGTTTTTAACAATTTCTAAATCTTACAAAATTAAATACCTTATACCAACTGAAATTTTGCATAAATTATCTCGTATATTATATTAAGTATGTACTCTGCATTTTATCAAAAAATTACAATTTTTTTTCATATTTTAAGTAGCCTACTGTTAAACCTATAATAAAATAAAAAGTTTTATTTCGCATTTATACTAAAAATTATGTTAATTTTGTTAGAAAGTATAACCTAGACTTTTTTACTTGGAATAGTTTCTTCAAAATGACTAAAAGTTACCGTATGATTCTTTATAACAAAAACGAATTCACTCTACAGAGTTTAAACGTTAATTAGATTATTTAATGGTAAATTGTGTAGCAAAACTGTTAATTGTATGCAAATAATAAAGCAATAACAATAATTTTCGAAAATAAATTGAATTCAATAAATTTTAATTTAAGAACAGTAAAAACATTTTAAATTTAATTTTTTTAATAGCCCATACTTTGTTAATGAATATTTTTCTTTAATTGATCAATAATTTTTATAAAATATCACCAATTTTACTAAACACTTTATAATATTCTCAATATAACAGAAGTAAAACATTTATTCTCTCATTTTCTTATGGCATTATAGTAATGTTATTATACTTTAGTTAATGTTATTGCACTACTGTACTGGTGCGTCTACAACCTGCTTATAAGAAATTAGACATTTAATTTTTACGTATAGAAATTAGAGAAAATATATTAGAAATCTGAGAAGTTTTTCACTCTCTTTTTTTTTTGTAAATTATGAGTATTTTCATGTTAATTTTATATTCACATAACATACGTAAAATTATATACTCGTACGATAACAGAAAATTAGAAAATAGAATATTTAAAAGAATTCTATTGAGAATTCAAAAATAAAACATGCAATCCAGAAATACGATATTCCTTCAAGTCCCACATGAGTTTCGGCAATTCTATTAAAAAAATTTTAATAATTAAAATTTAATTTTTAAAATTAAACATTCATTTTTCTGTTATTTTCTTACCGTTTTTCGAAATTTCCTGACATTTCCGAAAAAAAACAAAATTTTAACTGTTATACTGAAATGTCCTTGAATTTCAAATTTAATAATAATATTGCACATAATATATTACCAATTTTTAATTCAAACATGATAAATAAAAAAATTATTATTAAATATGTAATTTGATTTACAGCTTTAGTACATCTGCCTAGTTAACATGAAATCGTGTTAAAAAACAAACATAAATACAAAATGAAAAATGAATTTCTACAAGACAAAAATAAATTTTGTTGACTTTGAAATGTTGCATGCGTACAATTTTTTTTATTTGCATAGTGTTTAATGTTCTTATAAAAAAAAAATCTCTCTCTTCACTTTGCTCATATCGTAAACATGTTATTGATCTTCATGAGAACGAATTTTACATAAACAAAATTTTGCGATCTAAGCAATAAAAATTCATTTTACATTTTATTGAAATTACAATTTAATTTTTACATTGCATGCATGGCAGTGTATTTGAATTTTGAAGAATATGCAAAAGTCGGCAAAAAAATTAAAGTAAAAGGCATTTGTTTTTTAATTTTTTTTTTCTCTAAACTCCTTTTATGAAAACAACGCGGCGTTAAAAATTTATAATTAATGATAGTATTTTATAAACAACAATTACAGTATTAATGATGATGAAGTTATAGAGTGATAATGATGTTTATTTAAATTTAAATATAAAATTTATAGTTAATTAACTCAACTATAGGGTATTTGGGGCACATACGAGAATATCACCATTTTCATTGATTAACATTCCAATTTTTTAACATTCGCTAGTTTGTTAATTAATATAAATTTTAACGTAATAAGTTACTTACGTGTTATATACGATAATTATTAAATTGGTCAGTGTAGTACTGGACTGAATTATTGACAAAAGTGAGTATATTCCTCACTCTTGTCCGAACAGAATTATTCAATTTTTATTAGTATAATAAAAGCATGGAGCACAAACCATTGACAAGTTTACAAAATTTTTTAAAATCTTAGATTATTTTATACTAAATTGGCTTAAAATCATAATTTTTATTCGAACAATTCAGAAAATACATTGTAGTGATTATAACATGTAAAAATGGTTTTCTATTATAAACGTATAACAATTTACTTGTTATACCATTAAAGTGATTTCTGTCTTTTTTTCTTCTATATAAAACTATGATGTTATGATAGACGATATTTATTTATTTTAAAAAATTTTTTGCATCTTGTTGCAAACAGCAGAAATTCTATTTTAATTGCAATTTAAAATCTTTATAAAAAAAAAATGAAGATATTCGAAATTGCTTGTCATTTAATTGGTATTAGAGTCGTGCATCACACATTGTTGAATATTAAAAAAAATAAATATTGAGAACATTTTTAGAGATCTAAATTAAAAATATTATTTAATATTTTTTTAAAATTGCATGATTTGAAATAATAATTTTAAAATTTTCAAATTCAATTTAAATTAGAAGAACGTGTAAAATGCGGTATAAGATTAAAGCGTATGGTGAATGTGTATAACAATTCTACAGGTACAAGGTGTAATAATAATTTTTTTAATTAATTCTCGCATTTAGAATCGCTTAGCATTGCACGCAATATCAATAATATTAATGAAGATCTTTTTGAAAATTTAATAAAAATGTAATATTAATAATGTAATAGTTTAGAGAGAAAATATAAGAAATAGTAGTTTTTTCTGAAACTACTACATGTTATAGAAGTAGAAGAATAGAATTGGAAGAGTAACATTTACTGAACGGTTTTAAGATTATAAAATCAAGCCAAGTTATAAATTTGTTTACATTATGTCCAAATTACCTTATAGAGAACATGCAAAATAGAGAAGCACAAATAATATTATCATAGTTTGAAAGCTTAGAGTAGAGAAGCAACTATTCGACCGAGAAATCCTCAAATATTTCATATATTCTATAAAAGCCATTTACATAAATATTAAATTTAAATTTTTATAACATTAAAATTAAAAAAAAAATAATCATTAATACTAATAAATTTTATTTCTTCTAATTATTCAATTAAAAAGGTATGCCAACCAATTATGCCAGATGGTACAAGATGTGATGATCCAATTAATTTAGGACGTTATATAGAAGATTTTACATGTGAGGCACATAATTCAACACCAAGAATGATAAAAGATATGCGTTTATCATTTCCCAGTGGACATGCTAGTTTTTCAGCATTTACAATGATTTATTGTATTGTAAGTCACAAAAAAAATAACATAATTATTTCATATTATATACACTCAATATAACAATTATAATATAATTTTATTATATAAGTACACATATAGAGCATAATATATAGTTTCTAAATCGTATTTATATAATTTCAGATATATTTACAAGCTCGAATGAATTGGAGAGGTTCAAAATTGCTCAAACATTTCTTACAATTATTATTATTCTCAATAACATGGTTTACAGCATTAAGTCGTATATCAGATTATAAACATCATTGGTCAGATGTTTTAGCTGGTGGTGTTATTGGTATTGTTTTTGCACTTGTGGTGGTAAGTTTTTGATTTTTTGTCTTTTTTTTTTGTTTCAATTTTCCATTTGAAACTGTTAAACTTTAATTAGTTGGTAAAAGTGTAATACCAAGCAAGTCTGCAATAATGTCCGATTCTTCGAACTACAAAATTAGTGCCTTACTCTTTCCAATTAACATTATGAAGTAATAAGAATATTGGAATCAATAAAAGAGAACGAAATATATTTTAAATTTATTGCGATTTGCCTTACTCTGTTACGCAAAGAATTCATTGAAATTCAATTGACTTATTTTACAAAATAACAAAATTTTGTTATGGTCCAAATGTTATCTGTATGGAACGACACTTTATTAAATATCCGATATAAAAATGAATTTTTGGAGGCAATATTTTTAGAATTTGAAAAGTTATCCCTTGAATAAATTATTAATTCAGAATTATAATTAAAAGTGTTATATCCGCCCGAAATCACATTTTTTCACTAAGAATAACCCTTTTTGAAGTACAAAAAAATAATATTTTAAATTTAAAGTATTGCAGCTTCTTAAAATCAAAATATAAGAACGTGTTTCCCTCGAAAAAAATTCGAAAACTCTAATAAACTTCTCTTGAATACGTCAATTATTTTAAATTTTATTTGTCATTTTCTTTATTATATTCACTGCAAAAATGTCTTTCAAATTTAACTTAAATGTACGCATGTGAATGTGTTATACAGCGCACACAGTGCATACTATCATTCGTATCTGTAATTTATGCTTACATACACTCATAAGATATTGAAATTTTAATGAGCAACTTTTGGCAAATACAAAATAATCAACAGATAAAAATCAATTTTTACTATATAGGCTTATTTTCGCATTGTTATACAGGTTTTATGTGTCAAATATTGCCAGCAAAAGAAATTTAAGAAAAATATGTAATTTTATACTTTTTTCCCATTCTTATATCTGAAAGCAATTGCTATCCATCCTACATACATAATATGCTGTTCCTGCTATGAAAGTATTGAATTTTTAAAGAAAAAAGTTGCTCCATCAAATTTTAAAATTATTTTTTTTTTCTCTTCCTGCGTTTTTTGACCGATTTAAGAACTTTAAAATTAAAAAAAAAATAAATTCGAAATTAATATTTTAATTTTAGAACAGGATTTTCCAGCTTGGTATAATTTTAACCCCAAAAAAAGAATAAAAAAAATCAAATTATCTTTAAATAAATTTCCTGAATCTCCTGCAAAAATTTTTGTCCAAACCGGTCACAATTTATGCATTTTTCGTTCCTTTTAATTTCATATTTAATTAAACCCAAAAAAAAAAAAATAATTCAAAGCAACAAAACAAATTTCTTTTAAAAAATTAAGAACAGCACAAAAAACTAAACAACTAAAAAAAAAAGATGCTACAAAATTTTTGCACAATAAATGCATCTTCCATTAAATTTAAAGCCTTTTATTATCATACCGCAATGAAATTGACCATAAATCTTAAAATCAATGGTCCATGGCATTGAACAAAAATTTTGAATAAAAAAATTTTTTTTTTTTTCTGCTATCTCAGAATAAATTTTCATGTCAAAAGACGATTTATTTATTAATGTCCCATAAAAAAATTAAAGCGGAACCCATAAAGAATGAAACCAATCAAAATTGATTCACAAAAATTTGAACATATTCAATCTTATATTATGAATTTATCATAATATGGAAACTATGAAATTACGATTTTTGTCAATTTATCATTAAAAATTCTTTGTATTGCAAAGGTTAATTTAAACTATATGCACGTACACTCATACACATATGCAGTAAAGTGTTCACATAATTAGAATTCTTTAATGTAACAATGAGCAATTAATAATTATTGCTTTGATTTACACTCGTTTCAATGAATTTTGCTTATGTTTTTTTTATGAACGTGTAACAATAATAATGGACCATGATGTTCTATTCCTTAAAATGTTAATGTGATAGAAAATTTATAGTTCATTAACTATATTAAACCTAAAGTTATTCCTGTGTACCCGAAGTACAGATCAGAAATTTCCCGATTATGAGTAAAATGTATATCTGGTTCGAACTTGAGAGTTTTCGATAATCTTATATATTCGAATTCTTTATAATTCCGGAGAAATATCCGTGCAAACTATATGTAAGTTTTACTTGAACAATTGAAAAGTGATGATCTATGTTGTCTATATAATATTCTTCTTAAACATCGAGTATTGAAAGTATTTGGTCATGTTTGTGCATCTGTTCGTAATATATATATAAAATGTAATTGACAATTGACTTAAAACTGATTAAAAATCTTATATAACTTGGATATAATTAAAATGACGATTTAAATAAGTGCTATAAAACTTCAAAAGTTTTAATGTTATAAAACTTACTTTATTATATTTTGGATGGCATTGAGGCACAAACGTCAACCCTATACGGGTTATTAATTTTTTAATAAATTCTAAATTTTGAATTTAATTTGTTTGAACAAATTTTTTTTTTTCGAAATTTTTAACAAGTTTTTCCCTTAAAGCTTAAATATAAGGAACGTTCCGATTCCTCCGAAATTTTATTTTTTATAATAATAGTTAATTGCATATTAAGAGCAGATAAAAATTAATTTATTATTCTATAAATATGACAAATAGTTTATGTTAATAATAAGAAATTCAAACCCCTTAATTAAACGACCCTTAGGGTATTATAAATTTCAATGTAAATTTGATATACACATTAAATAAATCACGTTTATTAGAAACTGTAACAAACAATAATAATTGTTAATGGTAACATAATGTTATTTGAATTTTAAACCTGTATTCAACATATAGCCCTATACATATACCAATTTACTTACGATACCTATCACATTGAATTCAGAAAATCTCGAATAGCAAAATATCTCATTAAAACATCATGATTGACCGTTATAGTGCGAATAATTAACAAGGATAATTCATTGAATCTTCTTGACATTAAAATGAATCAAAATTATAATGATAGCATTACATTAAATATGTGCAAGGATGAATTTTTGTGTTACAGTATACATATATAGATGGGTTCTCTATATAATTTGGGCCAAAGTATATTAAAATAAACAAAATCCAAAAAATTATATTGTTCAATATCATCTCAATGAATGCATTATTTTTTCTCTAAATATAATTTGCATAAATTTCTTATATGTGTGTGTGCATCTCATTAAAATATTTTTTTTTAATATGGAAACTATTATGGTATAACAATAAAATTTGTTGTGTATAACAACAATTCTGTATGCATTTTGCATTTAGGTAAGTCAAGTAGAATTAGCTTGGTTGAGCATATCATTAAATTATGCCAGCTCAAATACTTTTTTTTCTTTTTGATAAATATTTCATTCTGTAAAATGATGGTACATACTCGTATAACAGTTTAATTTTAATGATTTATTTTTCCTACTTTTTTTTTTTGTAAATGTGCATGTCAGCATGCAATCTCAATCTGAAAGAAACACCAATGAGGAAGTATACTCGTATATGAAAAATATTTGACCGTCTGTGCTTTAATATACACAAATATTGGTATAACACAAAAATTGGTATAACAATGAAGTACATTTTGAAATTTTGTCAAAAAAATTAATTTCCAATGAAATGAGCCGGTTAGAACAATCTGCAATTTATTAACAAAACTGTAATATTAATATACATATGTATACATACAACTCCTAAATCGTTTATAAACAATGGCTAGTTAAAAATGATATTAGAAAGTTTTCATAAGAATTCTGAAGAGTTTCAAGCCTGTTATTCAGTAGTTTTATAACAATTTTAAGTTTTAATTTATTAGAAAATTTTTTATAAGAATGAACTATATTTTAACACTCTTTTTATTGTTTTCATTCAAATTGTGTGATGGTCAGATAGAAAATAAAAAATTTATGTTTAAAAAAAATGTTTTTCATTAGAAATTCTCCCAGCTACAATTATTACTTATAGAAAAATAAATCAATAAGGACTCATAAATTTTCTTCTCTCAAAAACTTAATTCCCACAATTGTATTTGCCCAAACTAAAATTTCTCTAAAAGCAAAATGCCATATGTATACACAATTATGGTAGTGTACAAGTAAAATTTAGTATTGTTACAAAAATAAAATGTTTATTCTATTGACCATCATAATATTATCATGCTAGTGTTTATTCCGCTAATTATGCATAATTGTTAAATAATTTATTTATACTACCGACCTAAACATATAAATGTCTAATTAAATATTCATTATAGTGGGCTCAAAAATCCTACAATGTTTATATTTAATAAAAAATGCATAATTTACATAATTTTTTTTTATAACAATAACAAATTCAATTGGATAATTTTAATATTTGTCTTTTTACCGACTGCATTGCCTGTGATGGCACCAAATTTTGAATGTCGACTGAGAACGCATATCTCCATAATAAAGAAGCATCAATAGACTACTTTTAGAGAGATATCAGTCTATCGATGTGTTTGGCTGTATGTGCAAGCGTGTATCCCAAGTTCAGCTACACCAATGTCGATGAAATTTTATACATTATGCGCCGATTTTTGCACATACTCGTATAAACAGAAACAATAAACTAATTTCCATGAAATTTAAAAAATTCGGGCTGCTTAAACAATGAACCTACAAATTTTTTGAAAAGTTCAGGCCGCGGAAATCGAATTAGTGAGAAATTTCAGATTTTTTATCATATCTATAAAACTAACAAGTAGCAAGTGTTTGACAAGTGACAGTTTACAGGTGATAGTTAACAGGTTACATTTGAAAGGTGACAGTTGATATTTGACAGGTGACCGCTGACATTTGACATTTTGGATTTCATTATTTAACAAATTTATTCATAAATGATTTTTTCCTAATGGCTGTTTTCATACGTCTCAATTCAGATGACCGTGCAACAATTTTATGTCATTTAATGTTTTGTTGATTAAAACAAGACAATTAAAAAATTTTTGTAGTTGGTTTGTATAGTTGTGATACGTATATTTTTATTTAGACTTGTTTGAAATGAGAATATTAGATTACTACAATTTAATTACCTGTAACGTAACAGAAAATATAACGTATATGAAAATTGCAACATTGTTGATGATAAGATATTAAGAGTGTAAAAGAAATGTCAAAAAAATGTGATATGAAATTATAGTGTGGCAAGTCGCAACGGAAGCCAAAATAAATCATTCAAAAATTAAGTTGATTTTCTCTTCTATATCTGTCTAACTTTAATAATTTTTAAATTTTAATAAATTGTGTCAATTAAACACGCAATTCGCAAATATAAGCATGCAAATATATTTTGTGTATTATTACATTGTAACAGTACATTAATCGTACTCAATTTTATATACCGAAAATTTCCATGTGCTTTTTGATTGTGGTCTTATTTTACAAGATTTTTAAAATATTACACGCAATAATTAACGCTTTCCTTTTCATGAATAATCTAATATTATAAAATTTCAATATTTTTTACTATTGTATCAAATATATAGAATATTTTATTGAAATTGGACATTTTACAACTAAAAAATTAATAAACTGCTTTATGTTTGAAGCAAATCAAAATGGAAACCATTGAATAAGCTGAAATTTAATGGCTGTAATTGAACATTAGAAATAACTATTCGAAAAAATTATATAGCGCTCTTTAGTATCCAAAATTCTCTTGCATATATGAGGAACTCATAGTACATTAGTGGCCTACTTGCAAAAATGACATTTTGAGTAAACTGCATTTTAATTATTTATATAATTAAAAAGATTTTTAAAAACCAAAAACGAACTTATGTCAAAATAGCGTAAAAACAGGAATAAACTGAAAATTTAGGAGAAATAAAACAATTTTTTAGGCCATTACAGCTCTATTGAACATAATAACTCATTTTTGTTAAAATGTTGGATACTCCACTAATACACTGAGCGATTGATATATATATAGCTAAATGTGAATATTATAACACAGTTTTGTCACCACAATTATATTATTGAATAGTCATGGAATTACAGTACGATTATTATTATTGAATATTCATATGTCATGGAATTACAGTACGGTTTTTATATATCCTCTGTTTAAATTATTAAATTACTTTACTATTTATGCAAGGAGTATAGGAGTGGCCAACTAAAAGAGTGCATATAAATTGTACATCTATTAACCATAACATCTTCCAGAATTAATATTTATTCCCAATAACCTGCTTCTTATAGTATACCATACATATTTTAAAAATTTCTCATTTAATTTTAAATAAAGGAAGTAATTTTAATTTTTACAATTAATTTTATCTTTTTTATTAATTATATAAAAATCCAATTTTTTTTTAAATTTAATATTTTTAATAAAATATTTACATAATTTCTTTTCTTTTTTATTTATTCAAATATACCAAAATAGTCCCAGTGTGTTGCCGATTTTCGTGATACAGTACTACAATTACCAAGAACACAACATGATATAACAGCAAATAATATAAATACAACATCATCACGTCAACAACACCACAACAACACAAATCATCAGCAACAAAATAATCATCAAAATTCTGGCCAAAATGGTCATAATAACTATACTTAAAATTAAATTTAAATTTTATTAATTAAAAAACAAAAAAAAATTTTTATTAAAATTTCAAAATTTTTTATTATTAGCTTTCTTTTTTTTTTTAATAAAAATACAAAAAAAAAAAAATATTTTTAAATTTTTAATTATTAAATTTTTTTTTTTTTAATCTAATTTATAAATATTTATATTTTTCAAATTTAATTTATTTAAAATATTAAACTAAAATGAAAATAATGCAAAAAAAAAAAGAAAAACAAATTAAATTATTAAATATATAGTTAGATTATATTTTTTATATATATATGTAAAAAAAAAATAAAAAAAAAATAGAAGCATTGATAATAATTAATTAATTGATTAATTTTTTTAATTCGTTGTCTTCCAAAAATTACTTTTTATAATTATAAAAAAAAAAAATTAAAAATTAAAATTTAAATAAAAAAAAAATTCAAAAAAAAAAAAAAATTCTTATATAATTTTTAAGTCCTTTTCGAAGCTAAACAATATTGTTGTTGTTGAAAAATATTGCGTGTAATTTTTTCATTTTTTTTTTTTTTATTTTTCTCTTAATAAAAATTATTGTTATTGTTTTTTGCGTAAAGTGCTTTTACAATGAAAAAAAGGATAATAAAAGATAATAAAAAAAAAAAATTCAGACTATTTAAGAATACTTAAAAATTAACCTATTCATCTCTACATATCAAAGATAACAGGTGATTTTAACACTTTAAGGCATGCGTGTAACATTATTCCGTATGCATATAGATTTGTTTTACATTTTTAAAATAAACAAGAGTCGTCGTAAAAGTAAATGAACAGCATGAGTGGAATATTAAACTTTAAACATTTTTAATACTAAGAAAAATTTTACTGTCTTGAAAGTGCGCTGTTACATATTATTTATTAAAAGTTAAACAAAACGGGAGAGCGCAAATTTGTCTCAAAAAGAGAATTTTTAGTATATACGTTAAAAGAATAAATAAAATTTTATAAATAAAAGAGAGACAAATTACATAGATGCATTTTTCTAAATCATTTAAGAGAATAATTATTTTTTAATGAAAATTTGACTAAATTTTTCTCTTTAAAATTTATTGTTATGTCAAATTGTCAATATTAAATTATTATTGTATTTAAACCGTACAAGTTAAATGTAATAACAATAAGAGAGTAAAATATTTTACAATTCTCACTCATATTTTTAATATTTCCGTGAAATGGTAAAATTTTATTCAAATTAAAGCTGAAATTAAAGAAATATTTAAAAAATTTTTGAAAAAGTCAATTTTGATTTTAAAAAATATTTATGACGAAGACCGTATTAACGAAATTCTTGTACTTCTAGATATAAAAATTTTTAAAGTCACAAAATCATGTTAAAATTTAATTTTCACGGATTCAGTATCACGGATTTAGATACTTTCATTAACAATTTTAAAATTAATTGAAATTACTCGTATGTGTATTAGCTGAAGAATTAAATTGTTAAAATTAAGAAATTTTAAAATTCATTTACAGATAGACTTATTTTTCATATTGTGGTGAAAATATTATGGTCAATAGGATGTAATTGATTGTGGTGAATTGTATTGTGGTGAATAACGCCTAATAAATAGTGTGTAATAAGATCACCTGCTACCAATATTTTACAGAACGAACAGGTTAATTATATCGAAAACATTTTTATAACACAATTAAAAAATATTAAAAAATTTTAATTGATCTTTAAATATAACAAAAATGTTAACAAGAAAAATAAACGAAAAGTATTATAAATAGTTAAAACAAAAAAAAAATAGAAATAGAAAAGAATTAAAGTGAAATTTTACTTAAGCATTTTAGTTAAAAATTAAATAGAAACGAAAATATTTTCAAAAATAAATACAAAACTTATAATAAAGTATATAATAAAAATATGTGAGGAATTTTTACAAAACATGATAACACTGCATTTGATCTAAATTTTAATTTTTTTTTTGTTGTAGTTGACCTATGTATAATGGAGCTGATCTCAAAACATACAATTGAAGATTATTTTGAAACCACAGGATTTCGAGTTAATTTTATATTTTTTTTTCCTCAGTTGACCTATGTATAATGGAGCTGATCTCAAAACATACAATTGAAGATTATTTTGAAACCACAAGATTTGCTTTTCAATTTAAGTTCCAATTGCAAGTTTCAATATCCTATATAGTGATATTGCAGACTAGCTATGAAAAAATCTGCTCAAAACTCTTATCTCATCGTGATTCTTAAAATTGAATATATTCTATTGCTAGACCACATCCCAAATGTTACAACAAAATTTTTTTGGATTATTAATTCGAAACCTCATTCTCTTTATTAATTCGAGTGTTTGAAGAAAATCGAACGTCCTGCGTTGATTTTATCCATGAAAAAATATCAAATGAAAGACATACTTTTCTTGTGACTTAAAATTTCCAAATATTTTCTAAAGTAAATTCAATTTTTAATAGAAAATATTAGACCATACCGAGATTTATCATGATTTTGTAAATATTCTACAAATATTTTATTTTTTGATTTTAATTTATTTTTTTAATATTAAAATGCAATAAAAACAAAATTAGAATCCTTAACAATTATTGTTAAATAAAAAATAACTATTTTTCAAATCAAATATTTTACCTATATGCTTATAAATATATGTATGTATATATACATTTAGATTATAATTCATACAAATATTCATATACAAAAGAAAAACTTATTATTACTATTATATTTATTATTTAAAAAGAGTAAATGTGAATGAATATTTTAATAAAATTATGTAGAAAAATATTTAATTATAATACTTATGGTGTATAGTTAAACTTTAAATAAGATTTAATTTAAAAAAAGAGAAAACAATTATAGCAAAAATTTGTGTATCCAATTTTCTGAATCTGAAAATCTTCTACCTATCTATATATATATATATATATATACTTAATATTTTATAGAAAACCATATTTTTAAAAGGCTATGTTAAATTTAATGTAATGTAGTTTAATCTCTATATTGTAATATTGTGTATGAGAACAAATAGACCGAAACAGAATATTAAAAAAATTTTAAAATTTCATTTCATAATAATTACACCACATAGAAGAGTACGTAAGTCATTTATAATAATCATCTCTTAAAGTTTCTCTTATCATTAATCTCTTGAAATTCGTAATGTTAAATAAGGTATACTGTATACTTGAAGAGTAATAAATATAGTTTTCGAATGTGTTGTAATTTGTATACAAGTTGAAAATTTTTGGAGAAATAAAATTGAAAATTTTAAATCTAATTTATTATTTGAGTAATAATATTCTTATATTACTCATTTTAATTGCTGCGGAGAGTCACAATTAAATTTTATTATTAATAAAATAATTTTGAAAATTTAATTTACATTTTCAACCTGATCGTTTCAGAATTCTCAGTATTTTCTAATGGATATTTCACTTGTCCAATATTATTAATAATTTTTTTTAAATGAAATTTTGCATTTCTTCTCAAATTATCGACTTAACGTCTCCCTCTCAGAAAATAATAGTGAATAAATTTTGTATGCATTTTAGAAGAAAAAACGAGACACAGAATACCAAATAATTCTTCTCACTCTTACCACTTAAAATTACATCTTATACAAGTATATGATAGTTATACTCACTTTCTTCTCATTTTCCGATTAAAATATTGAGATAAACGATCCAGCCCTTTTTAACATGTATTGTATAATTAATATGATGTTAAAATGACAAGACAATAATATGGATTCATGAAATATCGCAAACTGAAAGTGGTTATTATTATTATTATAGACAGATTACAGAATTCTCTTTGAAAACTATTGTTATTTAATTATTATTCTACAATGTTTTTTTTATTTAATGTTGCTCTGTTACTCTGTTACAGTTATATTCTCTCATTATATTCACTAAACTCTCTTCTCGCATTAAGTTCTTCTCAAATTACTATAATATTGTATGAATTTCACTCAATAATAATTATTCAAATTTTAATTAAATTTCAACAATATTCCGAAATTAGATTTAGAATTTTTCAAATGCATGATGGTACAAGAAGAATTTTTTAAAGTGATAACGATTTTCTCAGATGACCTTATATCATTCTTAAAATTCAAATTACATATTGTTGGGAACATTTTAACCAAATAAAATAATAGCTCAGGCAAGTATGCAATTTTTAATATTACATAATTGCTACTTGATTGTAGAATCGTTGCTCTCACCTCTAACCAACTAAACGATTGCGTCAATTCAAATCAAATGCAATCAAAGTTTGTAAACGATTGCAAACTGTTTGATTGCTTAATTGTATGGGATCATACAGTTAGTTGTATGTGTGCGCGCTTGAGAATACCTCTGGAATACAAATAAGCAATCAAACAATTGCAAAAATTAAAAACTGCATAACTATATGAGCCCTAAAATTCCATAGAATCCATATTAAAAATAATATATATTTTTTAAATATGGGAAAATTAATTTTATTTGATTAAATTCTAAGGATTTTCTAAATGTTTGACATTACTGTTATATACGCATAATTATGTACATGTATGTCTTAACATTATCACAGTAGCCATACTTGTATTAGGAGTTAGGCAGACATGAAATTTTTAGTTTTGCAACTCTTTGATTGCCTGTTTGTATTTCATAAGTTTATATTCAAACACTCACTAAAAGCCTTGCTAGTGTGTGAGCTTGTATATATGCCTATTAAACAGAAATAAGCAATCAAACAGTTGTAATACTAAAAATTGTATGTCCATCTAATACCTTATAGTTTTTAATAAATCTACTCGCAGCGAATAATAGAATCATAATAAAATTCCATTGAGTTTTTACGATAAAACACAAACATAGCTTTAGTTGAATATTAAAAATTTACATACCTTTATACATAATATTAAAAATATTTCATATTTACGTTATATTTTTTAAGCCAGTATATAAATATAATAGTTATACGTATATAACTATAGATAAATATTATTTTTTCACTATTAGAATGTTTTAACATGCACATTCCTACGTTATATATTTACAGTGTGTATTATAGCAAAATATTTATTCATATTTACAATTTATATTTTAAAACTATTTAATACATAATATTATTATTATTATTATAATTTGTATATTATGAAAACGAATGTTAATATAAAAACTGTTATATATACAATATATGTAATATTATAAATTATTATACAATGTAAAACAAATTCATTTATATACTAAATAGTATTGTAGTATAATGTGAATGTTTATTAAGAAAGAGAAACAAAAAAAAAAAAAAAAACAGAAAAAAAAATTGAAATTTAATTAATAATTATTAGTAAATATTATATATATATATATATATATATACATTAGCTATTAATTAAATTAAAATTGTAAATATATTTTTAAATTTATTCAAAAAACAAATTAATTTTGAGTTTTAATTTTGGTTTTAAATGTTGATTTTTTTCATCTTGTCATACAAAATATCACACTTTCATTCATTTATTTATGATACAGAATATCTTGTCATACAGAATATTTATTCCATCATACAAGTTCTATTGCGATTTTTAAGTAAATTTTTAAACAAAGTATGTTCAAGTTTCGCCCATAATATCGGAAATATCTTTTAATACAACAACACTTAATGAAAGTATCAGTGTAAAAATAGAACCAAAATGGAGAACAAATACATATGGCGAACGATTTCCGTTATAAACAGAGAAGAACTTCAGAACGGCAAAATGAGCTTTTATGTCAAAAAAAGTCGCCAGTCATAAAATAGGATTTTAGGTGCCAGTTACACATCAGTCTTAATTTACGATAACATTTGATGAGCATTTAAATATCAAATTCCATTTATACTTTTGACGATAATGTTTTTAATATTTTAAATCTATGCACTGGCAACAATAATTTTGAAAAACAAAAATCGGCAGATTG